TTTCCTCTTTTGTGTCATGTGATCTGTATAAAAGTCGTTTGATTTATGAGAATAAAGATTCGTCTCAGTCATATTTATGACCGTGAGTCAAACACTGAATGAGGACATTTACTTTATACAATCAATTACTGCATTAGTGTTCTGATTGGTTGAGAAGCATTAGGTATATACGCAAGACAACTTTATTTCTATATATCAGTTTTTGAAATGATTATTCCCCTTTCCTTGCAATATGCAACATAATATCTATGTATAGTGAAATACTGAATAAGGTACATAATATATGTGAAGAAGTCTAAAAATTAAGTATTGCAGCTAAAATTAAAAATCGTAGAAAGAACCATGTATTGCATAAAAACATTGTCATTAAATGAACAATAGTGATACTTTTAATTGATTTGATTGACAAAGTGAGTATGTGGCAGTACTGTGAGTTTGTGACGATACTGAGAGTATGTGACGTTACTGCAAGTATGTGATGGCACTGCGAGTGTGCGATGGAACTGAGAGTGCGCGATGGAACTGAGAGTGCGTGACGGCACTGCCAGTACGTGACGGCACTGCCAGTACGTGACGGCACTGCGAGTTCGTGTGACGGCACTGCGAGTTCGTGTGACGGCACTGCGAGTTCGTGTGAAGGCACTGCGAGTTCGTGTGAAGGCACTGCGAGTTCGTGTGACTGCACTGCGAGTTCGTGTGACGGCACTGCGAGTTCGTGTGATGATACTGCGAGTTCGTGTGACGGTACTGCGAGTTCGTGTGACGGTACTGCGAGTATGTGACGGTACTGCGAGTATGTGACGGTACTGTGAGTATGTGACGGTACTGCGAGTATGTGTGACTACTGCGAGTACGTGACGGCACTGCGAGTACGTGACGGCACTGCGAGTACGTGACGGCACTGCGAGTACGTGACTGCACTGCGAGTACGTGACGGCACTGCGAGTACGTGATGGCACTGCGAGTACGTGACCGTTCTGAGAGTTCATGTGACGGTACTGCGAGTATGTGACGGCACTGCGAGTTCGTGTGACCGTACTGCGAGTTCGTGTGACGGCACTGCGATTATGTGACTGCATTGCGATTATGTGACGGGACTGCGATTATGTGACGGGACTGCGATTATGTGGCGGTGCTGCGAGTTCGTGTGATGGCACTGCGATTATGTGACGGGACTGCGAGTATGTGACTGTACTGCGAGTATGTGACGGCACTGCTAGTATGTGACGGCACTGCTAGTATGTGACGGCACTGCGAGTACGTGACTGCACTGCGAGTACATGACGGTACTGAAAGTATGTGACGGCACTGCGAGTATGTGACGGCACTGCGAGTATGTGACGGCACTGCGAATATGTGACGGCACTGCGAATATGTGACGGCACTGCGAATATGTGACGGCACTGCGAATATGTGACGGCACTGCGATTATGTGACGGCACTGCGATTATGTGACGGCACTGCGATTATGTGACGGCACGAGGTATGTAAATGTGTCGAAATGGACATAGTGCGAGTGGTTAGTGCTAGTAGCACTAATCCGAAAAACTACTAGATCTAGTGCTAAATGGCACTAGATCTAGTGCTAAAACGGCACTAGATCTAGTGCTAAAATGTACATAATAACTTTATTACACTACTATGCCATCAGAGGGCGCAGTATGGTAAATAAAATACAAATCATAAGAAAAAATACAGTAGCTAGACTATAAGATAAAATTAAAAATAAAAGATGTTAAAAGCTTAATAGGAAAAACAAATTAAGGATAGTTACAGGATTCTCCCAATGTAGAGGTGATAGCTATCATATACCTGATTTCTGTTTTGCCTTATTTAGAAACTTTGCCAGGGGTATGAAGCACGTCATTATTTTAATGAAATTATCTGTTTTATTTAGTTTATTTTTAATTCCTATTTCCTGAAACAGCTCCCCTCTTTCTTTATTGAGAAATTCACAATCTAGGATAAAATGTTGTTCGTCCTCAACTGAATTTGTATTACATTTTTTACAAAATCGCTCATCCGCAGGAATTTTTGGTCGTTGTTGTCTGCCTCTTTCAATTTCTAAATTATGATCACTAAGCCTAAATTTACTCACAATTCTCCGAAGGCTGAAGTTTGTTATTTCGGTCAGGTAAGTTTCTATTTTCAAAAACGATTTAAACAATTTATATGTTCTCATTTTATTGCCATGTTTACCATTTTTACTGTGAGGAGAATTTAAGCTTTCTTTCCATAATTTTTCATAATCTTTTAGTGCGAGTGGCATTGATATTGCGTTGTCAACGACGTCAAGACATCCCGTGATTCTCTGAAAATAAATTAATATTTACGTAAAATTGTTGTATCTTTCATTCATTGGAAATGTGCTACAGTGGGAAAATTGAGAATGTCATTGTCCACGTTTGTCGTAATACTAA